CTCTCGAGCAGATCTCAGTCTGATATTGTATTCTATACAAGTAAACATTTCTCAGAAACCTCCAAATATACGAATCTAACCTTACCCCGATCAGCATTCTTCCGTACTTATAATCAGCAAAGGCTTTCTGACATGTCAAAATTTGTCCGTCAAATAGACTCACTTACTTCCTTGTACGCCATAATGAATGCAGAATTTAATGATTCCCTTATTTTGTTAATAGACGAATATATTTGTGCATGTTGCTTAAACAACGAACTAGTTCTAGTTTTTTCTTCCTCTAAACACAGGCTCACAGGTTAAAATTAATTACTTCGTAGTATAAATGTAGTCCGCCCAAATCCCTAAACTTAAATTTTTATGAAAATGCAATTTTTTTTTGATAATTAATTTTGATATTTTTACGGCCGTGGAATATGTGATGCGATGCGAATGAATTGTCTGTTATAAGTCACTGTGAAATTTCGACGAGAAATAGAATGCCATCACAAGCCACAATACATTGGTGTATGCCAATGTTCGAATGAAACGCGAAAATCGTTGAAACCTTAGGCCCCAAAGCATGAGTACGTATGAGGTTACTTGAAGTTAAGAAGCCAAACCCCCACACACACAATTAATTACGTAAAAGTGTCAGCAAGTTTTTCTAGACGAAAATGTATATTTTTGTAGCCGCTCATGCAGGAACTGTGTACGTCACTCCGTCACAGATGTATCAATAAAATGAAGCTATGGGGCTTAGTCTTTGAAAGTAATAGACATTTTTTTGCAAACCATGCAAGTTGATGCATATCGAACATAATTCCGTTGCGGCCATTGTGAGCCCTTATCTCTCTTTTGCATTTAATTAAAATAGTTTTTCGGTTAATTTGAAGATTTCAGTAAAACTCAGTGACCGCAAAAGCTTGAAACTTTAATCAACTCTGTGTAGTGATATAGTTGAACCGAGTCGAGTTACAGCTTAAAGCATCAAAGGGCACGAATATTAAAAAAATTGTCGAAAACTTTTGTCATCTATTTATTATTCATAATATTTAAAAAAAAAAAGTTCATTTAATTGTTTTAAACTGCATCATTACTGCTTACTGTTAGGAGTAATTAAAATAATTGAATATTTGAAAAAAGGAAAGAATTGAAACTGAATTATTTGAATACACATGGGTCGCAAGTATGACACGTGAACGTCATAAAAAGGAAATTGACGAACAATCACATATATAAAATATATTTTATACATATATGTGTATATTGTAGTAGTATTCTTATATTATATGCGTCCGCTCTTACCCCCCACCGCGCCATCATTAAATACATTTGTATTGCAAATGAGTTTTCGTTGGTAATGCCAAGTGTAATTATAATTATTGTTATTGTGCTTACCTTTGTGCAAAAAAATACATATATGCATTTGTTGGTATGCGTTGAATATTTCCTTTTTGTTGTTGTATATATAAAGCCATTTCAATAACAAAAGTCCATAGGTTAAAATAGGAAATACAAAGGACCTCTTGAGTTGCACGCAATGAACGATACTGAAAAAAAAAATAAATAAATAAATAAAATAAAAATAAAATAAAAATAAAATAAGAATAACGTATGCCTTTGAAAAAGTTCAGGTTTTTTTTTTTTTTTTTTTTAATATTAATAATGTGAAACAAAACGAGTCTTCTATGCCTAGTTCTACCACCAATACAGTCAACGGACTTAATAATATTTGCTATACCGTCATTAATTTTTCATAAGATCGTCTACCTTTTTTTTTTTATTTTTTTTTTTTTATAAGCAAAACGTCGTGTTAGTAAACTGAAATATTCTCTCGTTTTGGTAGGCACTCGACCCCCACTAGAAGTAGTGCTTGAGTTGATTTTTTTTTTTTTTTTTTTGTGAACAAAAGCTTACAATTACTTGGGGAGCCACGCGTTTGATTGTATTTGCGTGCTTGCTTTCAATACAGGGTTGTTTTCATTGACCTTTCTCTCTCTATATATATATATATATGTATATATATATTTATGCAATCGTATGCATGTAATCATGTTTCAATTGTTGTTGTTGGTTGACAGTTAGTTAGTTAGTTATAAAAGGAAATGGAAATTTATAAAAATTATGTGCAGACTGCGCAAATAAAGTCAAGTATGAAAACGTGCTTATTATACTATAGACCTATACATGCTTTGTACTTAATTTAAAGAATAAACAATCAATCATTTTATAAGTTATTTTTTTAAAAATCTCTTAATAATTATCAATAACGGGTCGAGAAAAGCGTCAAAATAAACTAAATTCCTCAGGCTTATGCAATTAAAAAAAGGACGAAATTAAAAGACTATCTCTAGTTATCTCTAGTATATGCGTATTTCTTCCTTTCGTACTTATTTCGTTTATCGATCGAGCATCGCGGCAATCAAAGATGGCTTCGATACCCATTGCTTAGCAATTTGCCCCTGACAGCGTGCTGGCAGTATTTCCTCCAAAAATTTGAATCTCTGTCACGCTTTCGACGAGTAGAGGCATTCTAGCAACAACTGGGGTACGGACGGTGAGAAGGAAGAACCAAAGAACGGGTAGACAAAGTAGTAATATTCAGGTAATGGATGAAGACATGGGCAGGGAAGCGAAAAGAAAAGATTGAGAAAAAGAGGAGTCGGATGCGGGCAAGCCGGGCGGCAAATGCTAAAAGGAGAAGAATGGGCGAAAAGCGGGATAAACGAACGAAAGGATGGGCTAAGGTTACTCAGAGTCTCACGCTTGGTTACACAGCCGACAAGACAAATGTAGTCTATTCTCGTCATTGGCGATGCGTATAGAAATATAGTGCAAACATCCTTCCTATGACGCAGTACATGTAAGGCACAGTTTTGATACAATACACAAGATTTTCTTTTTCCCCTTAATGATAGTATGTAAGGGAAAAAATAGATTAGTTGTAATTTTTAATGAAAACTAATTTTATGTTCGCCTTTAATATATTTATCCCGATGACCGAAGAATGGGAGATATACTCATTTTGTTAAAACGTTTGCAACACCGTTTGCAGAAGGAAACTTCAGACACCTTACAATATATATATATTCATCATCAGCATCAAACACTAAATCAATGCAAGCATGTCCGTATGTCCGTCCGTGTAAGCAATCTCCTGGCTGTAGAAATAAAGCTATCGACTTTAAATTTGCCAGAAAAATTTGAAACTCTTGGCAAACAGATTGGTGTTGACAATTTAATCGGTCGAAGCCTGACGTTCACAGTACTACGTAAAGTAAGGATCACTCTTCTCTTCAAAAGGGATAAAAAATTGTCTTTTTTGTTCATTACTCATAAACTATAACACAAAGATTTGTTTGTATAATATTAGGGCGATGAAAATTGACCACGCCTATCCGATATTTTATGGTATTGAAATTTAATTTTTTTTTTTAATACCTTTATAACGCGTAGAAGCCAGCTTCAAACAAGCCATAAAGCACAAAGTGTAATAGACAGGTAAAACTAACTTTTTGCAGAACAATTTAGAAGAACCGAATGTTGCGCACTTTGATTTTGACTTTGACTTCATTGTTCACAACTAAAAAAAAAGATTTGATTGTCTCCGTTATTTGCTCCCCTCCCTCCTTCTTCTTGAGGCAATTGCTACCCAGCAAGGACTGACAAGTTTCTGTTAATTACTACCAAGATAGTTTCAATACTCTCCCTACAGGCAACCTCCATGACTACAAGCTAAGTTCAGCACTGTTGAAAAAGCAGAAGACATCAAGGTCTGCTTTTCTATTTAATTCGGAAGAAAGAAAAATAAAAGAATGGGTGATGAGGAATACAAGGCTGCGGCCACTTCCTATTTTTATGTCTATCCCCTCTCTCTCTCTCTCTCTCTCTCTCTCTCTCTCTCTCTCTCTCTCTC